ACCAAATTTGGAAGTACATTATGACTGAAGGGACATTTTCATTGAACATTTTCAATTAGGTTTGTTTTTACTTAAAACGTTATTGCGTTAATAGGCTGGAAAATTTAGTAATTTTATTGCTCAATTGCAATCAATAGATCTAGTGAAGATATCATTAATGTGAATCACTGTATTACTTAAAACATTTGTTTACAATGTACTAAAATCTAGGTAGTTTGAAGAAACTTTGGTTAGGATCGTTGCTCATCACTTAAAACACATCTTATCCATGCTCTTAAAGAGAAAGAAAAATACGCCACTCCAATTTTTAACCAATATTTTATGCTAATATCACTTTTGTTGATACTCAAAAAGTTCACAGAAAAGGCAAGAATATTGTGACGCTGATACGACTCACGCCCTATTTCAAATGCAATCTGTGACACGACGAACCACAGGATCTAGAATTGGTGGTATCCAAGATTGGAAGCAGAAAACATAATTTGATCTTGGATAGCATAAGATGAATCAAGTTTGGGTAGAACGATATTACAATCAAGTGCGATTTTTGATTGATATATCGAATGAACATTTAGGACAGCTTTAAGAAATTCAAAGAAAGCTTACAAGAAGCCAAGAAAATTTTCACTCTCAATGTTATTTGTTGGGAATTTTCGACTTCCTATTACAAAGAAAAGACTTGCCTATTTATAGGCAACAATCCTACTTAGACTAATCCAAATGGAACTAAGATTACTGCACTTAATCCTAGTTTAACTAAAGTAACTACTCGACCCATCAATCAAACAAACTGGCTGATTATTTCATCTATAAACTAACAAGACTCATGGCCCAACAAACATCTAGTTGGCAGAATTTGGACTCAACCCTAACAATCTAGCTAACCAAAACTCAACATGAGCTGGTCATTTTTATTGTCTATGCAAATTAAACAAACGACTAATGGAACAAGTAACAAATGGCTAAAGCTTTGGCCAAAACTTGACTCAATCAAGAATATCAATCAGCCCCAAGTTGTAAGTCCTTAATCAACCTCCTCTAGTCGAACTCAAACTGGGGTTTGTAATGCATGGTCCCTAAGTTCGATTCCTTCAATGCTTTTGTGGGTTCCGACATGATGTTGAGCAACAATACAGCCCAAAGATGCTTCAAAGAAAGTTGACGAGCGCAGGATATACATATAATAATAAACTCATTCCATAGTCATATTTTACATTTATAACATTCTAAATACCCCACACTCGATTTTTCGCAAGTATACGAGTCGTGATTGAATATCGGGTATTTAGGATCGATCGCACAGAGAAAATTGTCAATTACTAATGATTTTTGAACTCCTTTATTATTTAAACTATCACAAATGCAATCTATGCTACAAATATGAAATAAAAGTAATAAAAATAACAATAAAAAACCCCTAAAGATATAAAATTCCTTACTACTCCTACAAATGAAGTTACTAGCTAAGTGAATGCTATTATTTTGGCTAGTTATGAAGTAATTTTTTAATATATGTGAAACCTATTATCACAATGAATCAACTATACTTGTACCTAAACCATACTCTCGAAGTTATGAAATTAACTACAAGTTCATTTTTTTTATGAAATTACATGAAACAAGTCACTAAAACCACATAGGTGCACCTCTACTCTCGTAAGTGTACTCTCTAGGTTTATCAATTCCTTGAACTAGTGTTAAATCCCAATTTTCATTGCAAATTTAACACCTTAAGATTATCACAATTAATGGGTGGTTAATCATGATTAGATAAGCAAAAGTGATAAATAACTTGCTCAAAATAATATCATCAAATAACCAAGTAAATATCACTAGCATGATATAGCAAGTTCATCCATAATATCAAGGCCATGTATTCTGCTTTAATCATGTAGAACTCAAGAATACGCGACATAAGGTCCTGTTTCCTGAGCTCGCATTTTCTTCTGCAAATTTTTGTAGAAATTTTTAACTTTCTAAAAATTACACTCTGTACCTCAATTGTTCAAAGTGCATTCTAGATCATTCTTTTGTCACAATAACCAATGCACGCACATGTAAAATGATCAAAACATATATTTTACCCCTTTTTAACGAATCAAAAACAATATTTACTCAAATTGAGGGGTCGAGTTCCTTGATTGAACTTCGTCTTTTTCACCTCATTTGGTCAATTTTGCTTCTATTTTGACGAGCGCAGGGAATACATATAACAATTGAGTTCATTCCACAATCAAGTTTTACATTTACTAATTTTATATACCCTACATGCGATTTTTCTGCAAGTATATAGGTCGTGAGCGAGTATAGGATATTAAGGGTCGATCTCATAAGGAAGTCTGTCAATTACCGATGTTTTTCGAACTTCTTTATTATTTAGACTATCACAAGTACTGGATATTAAATCTATAATATAAACATGAGATAAAAGTAATAAAAATAATAATAGAAATCTCCTAGAGATATAGCATACCTAACTACTCTTGCAAATGAAATTACCGGTTAATCGAATGCTATTATCTTGACCAGTTATGGCATAATTTCCTAATATTCATGATACTCTCTTTCGCCAGTATACCAACTATACATATAGTTAATTCATACCTACTTTCGTGGTTATGAAACTAGCTACAAACTCATTTCTTCTGTAAAATTACATGAAACAAGTCACTGAAGCCACAAAAGTACACCTCTATTTTCGTGAGTGTACTCCTTAGGTTTATCACTACCTTGAACTAGTGCTAAATTCTAATTTTCATTGCAAATTTAATACCTTAAAATTATCACAATTAGTAGCCAGTTAATCATGATTAGATAAGCAAAAGCGATAAATAACTTGCAAAAAATAACATCATCAAATAACCAAGTAAATACCACTAATAAGATATAGCAAGTTCATCCATAACTCTAGGCTTAAACTTAGAACTACATATTAAAACACAAATCCAAAACTTGCATATTAACCATACTTAAGAATCTAATACAAAAGATAAAGAGTTGAAGAGGAGATAACCCTTGTCACATGAGTTTCAACCCCTCCTTCTTCATCTCCATTTTCATCCTAATCTAACCAATATACAAGAGTGGATAAAAACCATACTACTCTATACTAAACTACTAAACTAAACTAATGAACTAAGGAAATTCTAGTAAAGACTACATTTTTGGTTAGTTTCTTTAGCCTTTCAAAGTTGTGAAAATGTTCTCCAAGGCCTCTATTTATAGAGGAATTCAACCTTATGGTGACTTATTAAAGTTGATGTAAATTGCTCCTGGGAATCATCAAAAGATGCGTCTTGAATTCTCTATACTTGCTTGCTCAGTTCCAACCAGATTTCTTGCAGATAAATTGGTCTAAAAGCTTGAGTGAATAGAGCACAAGTTACATAGTAAGTTACAGAGCGGCAATTGGGGATCCGAGGGCAAGATCTGAGGTCGGATCGCTCAAAATACCCCTGGATCTCATTTTTCTTCATTTTTGTGTTCACTGCACATTAGGATCCAAGGCCTATAACATGGGGATCCGAGCTCGGATCCTCATCTGGGATGTAGCCTCTGATTATAGAAGTTTATTCAAAGGTTTAGTACACATCTGAACTCGGATTTACTTGCTCTATTTTTTGTTTAAATTTATCTGATATTTTCTTGATATTCGAGGTTGAACTAGTTCTTGCGTAAAACATGAAAGTTGTAGCCCTTTGAGTTATCTTCCAATGCATCAAGAATCATTCAATTTGGAGCTCTATAGACTGAGAAATGACCAAAATACCCTCGACTGGTCAGAACTCTATTTTAGCTTTCGACAATGAAAATACACTTCTGTATTTCGACTTTTTGACTTTGAAAACGACAAAATGGACTTCGATGTTTTCATACTAAATGTATACTATCTCCTAATTTCAAAATGGTTCAATAATCACCTCAATCCGATACTTGTAACTCAAGATATTTCCGAAATACTAAAATGTGTCAAAGCTATGAAAACTTGCTTGCATTTCATATTCTCTTTTTATCACTTTAATCCATCATCAATCATCCAATTATCTTCTCAATGCACTCCATTTGATGATTGAATTCTCAAACCTACAAAAACATGAAGTTTTCACCAGAAAAATCTAGAGAAATTTAATTTTTACCACTTAAACCATAAAATGTATATATTCACTGGAATCTTAGTTAATTAGCTATAAAACTAATTAAAACACATAAAAACTAACTAATAAAATACACTTAAAACACGTAAAATATGCACTTATCATATTTCTCCATACCTAGAAAAACAACAAGATAACTCAAACACATAATTTAAACATAAGATCACATAAAATTAACATAAATGACAAAAACATTGGGTTGCTTCCTAACAAGCGCTTTTGTTTATAGTCGTTGGCTGACTATTTTACCTTATTTTTCAAGGAAGTTTTGTTAATGAATAATCCTTCATTTTAGGTCGTGGTGGATCATTAAAGGTAACTTAATAGCAAAAGTCACATGTTCTAATAATGTGAGAGATGGAAGTGACATACTTATCGCAAGTGTTTCATAGATATTACCTTCAATATGCATCAGTTGAGAACTCACCACAGGAACTCCCGCACAGTTTTCTTGGAGAATAATACCTTTAAAACCTATATTCTCAATACATTCCTCAAGAGTGGTGAAAAATAAGTTGTTAAGACTCATCTTTTGAGGTTCAAGATTAGTTCCAAAGATACTATCATGTGAAATGGACATTTTCTCATTGAAACATAATTAAGATTCATTATTTTCATCAAAATACAATCCATTTTCACTTACAACATGCTCACCATTCATGTTAGGGTCATAGTGCATATCTTTTTTTTTTTTTTCAAATTTGTAGTCTTTTATTGATGAGAATAAAAGTTACACTCAAAGAAACATCATTTTGAAGTACAGGATTGGACTATAAAGACAACAAATGAACCAGAAATGTTTGGTGCTTAGTTGAAAGGCAAAATATCTCAAATTCTCCTTTATCCTCAGCCCTTCATACGCTTAATTTTCCGAATTGAAGGCATCCCTAATCTGTCAAGGCGAATTGCTCCACGGGCCATAGTTGGAAACAAGTGGAAGGAGTCGTATAACTTGAGTTGATGCTCTGGATGAGAGACGCCCACATTGGACAATGCATCAGCGACTGTGTTAGCTTCTCTATAACAATGTGCAAAACGATCAGGATCTTCCACGAATTGCCAAATCTGCCTAATCTCTCGTCGAATCTTCCAAGGGCAGTGAATACGTTTCTGAAGAATTCCAATTAATACCAAAGAATCCGATTGAATATAGAGATTCTCAAAACCCCTATGTATGCATGTTTGAATGCCAATAAGAAGAGCCCGGGCCTCTGCACTTAGACATGTAGTTTCTCCAAGATATGCCGAAAAACCAATCAAAGGAATACCATGTGAATCCCGAAGAACCCCACCTCCTCCACCCAGTCCTGGATTACCCTTAGAACAGCCATCGGTATTTAGAGTAAACCGACCAGTTTCCTTTGGTTCCCAACGAACAAGTTTGTACGTGACATAAGTGTGAGATGAATACGGCCAATCATACAAATGGTAGAATGAATGAGCCTTGAAAACTTGTTTGAAATGAATTTCCACAATGGTCTGGATTTCCAAGGAAATGGCAAGACAAATGGCGGGAGATCTCATATGGACATCCTCAAATAATGCTTTATTTCTTGCTTTCCAAATTTGCCAACATACTATAGTGGGAAGAATGCGTCCAATGAGTCGCTGTATCTCTGAATCATATGAGTGCAACCACCAACCCACTATACAGGAGCGTAAAGAAGAGCCTGGAAAAGTCAATCCACATGAAGCTCCAAAATAATTCCAAACTGTTGAAGCTATATGGCCTTTGGAAAATAAATGTTCAATTGACTCCTCAGATGCGGAATCGCAGCAGAAACACTTTGATGGTAAATGTAAACCAAGTTTACGTAACCTATCCGGTAAAGGCAGCCTCTGCAGCAACAATCTTAACATGAAGAATGAAATTTTGAGTGGAATCTGAGGATGCCAAATGCTATCAAAAACCATAGACTTGTTTCATGCTTGCCTAATATCCCGAAATGCCGAAGCTAGAGAGAAGATTCCAGATGTTGTGGACATCCAAAAGACTTCAGCTTCACCCCAGTCTTCCGGGACTGGATGCTCTAAAATGGAGGGAACCAGATCCGTCGGCAATGTCTGATATAATCTACTCACATCCCAGTGTCTATTGATGATAAAATCACCAAACGACAAATTAGAGACAACTGTCGTACGGAGAAACAAGGCACCCCCTCCCAACCAATTGTCGTACCAAAAATGACAAGCTCCATTCTTGATATCCCATAGCATAGATAGCTCCACTTGTCGACTTACATTGACCATCCTTCTCCAGATTGCGGAGTCCAATGACCTGATTTCAACCTGACAAGGATGTAGTATTCTACAGTACTTAGCTTTCATGAATGAAGCCCACAACGAGCATCCCTTTCTGAAGTTCCACCAAAGCTTGAATGAGAATGCTGTGTAGATGTCCTGTAACCTCCGGAAACCAACTCCTCCCTCATCTACCGGATAGCACATCTGAGACAACTGTATCAAATAACTTCATACAACTCATGCAATTGGTTTTGTATTCCATCAAAGTGAGAAGTTAATTCATCTAACTTTTCTTCAATCCTTGCAAAACGGTCAGCGATTGCATTAGCTAACCTTTTTAAAGCTAACTCCCAAAAGGGTTTAGAATCATTAGATAATGGTTCGTTTTTTAGTTCCCAAGGTAAGGATGCATTAGCTAACCTTTCTATTGCTAATTTCTAAGATGATTTTGATTCATATTGGACATATTCGAGTTAGTAATCATAAAAACATGAAGAATCACTATATGTACATTGATTATCCCAAGCATAAGTATAAGAATTGCCCCACTTAGGGTTACATTAATCACAACAAGAATTATAATGCCCAAATTTATCATAATAATTCATATTTTGTGCTTGGATACATGTATGATTAGTATGATAACTTTCACACAAATCACAAATCATATGATTAGAATTAAAAGCATTAACATTTCTCTTTTGCTCAATCTCATGCATAATGATGTACAATTAAACTTTTAACATTATAACATCAAGTTTTGCCTTTAAACTCCTTAAACCATCTTCAAATAACATACCTTTGGTAATTTCTTGGTTACCTCTATTCAAGGAGCTTTGCATTTGGTAACCATCTATTGCCGAATTTTCACTTCTGAAGCATTGTCCCCCCCTATATATTTTTACTCTCCTTGAGCCCCTAAACATGTCTTCAAAGTAACTTAAAAACAAATCTAGTCAAAGAGAATAGATGACCCGACACATATAAAAACATACAAATAAAGACTCAACAAGTCACTAAATACAATAAATAAGACACTAGACGCAACAATAACAACAAGAAGAAGTAAAATTGTCTAAATTAATAAAGTTGCTCTTAGCACCGATATTGAACAAATCTTCCCCGGCAATGGCGCTAAAAACTTGACGTGCGTGGGATATACATATAATAATAAGCTCATTCCACAATCAAGTTTTACATTTATAATATTTTAAATACCCCACACATGATTTTCTGCAAGTATACGAGTCGTGATTAAGTATAGGGTATTCAGAGTCGATCCCATAGAGAAGATTATCAATTACTGACGATTTTCAAATTTCTTTATTATTTAGACTATCACAAATGCAATCTATGCTATAAATATGAAATAAAAGTAATAAAAGTAACAATAAAGAGCTCCTAGAGGTAAGGAATTCCTTACTATTGCAAGTGAAGTTACCGGCTAGTTATGCCATAATTTCCTAATGTATGTGAAATCTACTCTCGTAGTGAATCAACTATACTTGTAACTAAGCCATACCTATTCTCGTGGTTATGAAATTAACTATAAGTTCATTTATTCTATGAAATTATATGAAACAAGTCACTAAAATCACATAGGTGCACCTCTACTCTCTTGAGTGTACTCCCTAGGTTTATTACTTTATTGGACTAGTGTAAAATCCCAATTCTCATTGCAAATTTAACACTTTAAGATTATTACAATTAATGGCTGGTTAATCATGATTAGATAAGCAAAAGTGATAAATAACTTGCTCAAAATAACATAATTAAATAATCAAGTAAACATCACTAGCAAGATATAGCAAGTTCATCTATAACTCTAAGCATAAACTTTAATTTAACATGATAAAAACACAAATCCAAAATTGTATTATAGCTAAACATGAAATCAAATACAAGAAACAAAGTAGTAGAAGAGATATCACCCTTGTCACATGAGATCAATCTCTCGATCTTGCTCCTTAATCTTCATCCAAATCCAACTATAAATACAAGAGGAATAAACTACTCTAACTATACTAATCTACTCTAACTAATGAAATAAGGAAATTCTAATGAAAATTACATTTTTTTGTGGAGTTTCTCTAGCCTTCCAAAGTTATGAAAATGGTCTCCAAAGGCTGCTATTTATAGATGATTCAAGCTCAAGGTGAGTTGTTTCTTGATTGGAAAAGTTGGCTTTTGAACTCATCAAGAGTTGTTCTCCAAGTTTCCACCCTCTTCTTGGTCAGATACAGCCGAATTTGCTTGCTGGAATTGAGCTGGAAAGTTGTGTGAACAAAGAAAAAGTTGCAGAGCAAGTTGCAGCAGAAAAACTAGAATACGCGACCTCGAATGTATGACCTTAGGTCGCGTATTGCACCCCATGTTTTCTCCTTTGCAGGTTTGCACTTTCTGGGCAGAATTCATCCTTGCTCTGTTTTTATTCCAACTTCAACTGATCTTTTCTTGATGATAGAAGCTGAACTAGCTCTTATGTAAAACATAAAAGTTGTAGCTCTTTGAGTTACTTTCCAATGCATGAAGAATCATTCAACGTGGAGATCTGTGGACCAAGAAATGACCAAAATACCTTCGACTATTCAGAACTCTGTTTTAGCTTTCGACAATGAAATTGCACTTCTGTATTTTGATTTTTTGACAATGAAAACAACTGAACTGCACTTCGATGTCTCATACCAAATATAGATCTATCTCTTATTTCAAAATGGTTTAAGAATCACATCAATCCAATACTTGTAACTCAATATATAGTCGAAATACCATAAGCTGTCAAAGTTGGAAAACTTCCTTTCTTTTGTTCTCTTTTGCATTTCATCTTTGCACTTCATGTCTTCTTTAAACTACTTCAAATCATCAACAATCATCCAAAAACGTTCTCAACTCACTCCATTTGATGATTGAATCATTAAACCAATAAAAACATGAAGTTTTCACCATTAAAATCCATAAAAATGCAATTTTTACACTTTAAACCATAAAATGCATATTTTCACTAGAAACTTAGTTGATTAGCTATAAAAGTAGTTAAAATACACCAAAACTAAATAATAAAACATACTAAAAATATGTAAAATATGCACTTATCAAAAGTCTGACACAATCCATTTCTTCTTGAGTTGCGAATTAGCAAACAGCTACTCTGGCGTGTCCATATCTTACTGATTCCAAGTCTTCTAGTCACTATTTACAATTCATCTTGAATGGAACGCGAATCAGCATGTTGAGGCTCGCTTGTGTATCATCAATTCCTTCAATTAGTTTTTGAGACCTAACTTGGTCTTAAATAGCGCGTACCAATGTTTGAAGTGAACCTTTGACCTTCGCATGAACCCTTCATAATTGAACTAATTGGAACATTCACTTCTTGGTCAACACTCAAACCTAGAATCACATATAGAAGTAGGTTTAACTCATATTGAGCAATTGGTATTATCTAGTGGTACGTACCTTTTGAATTTTGCCAAGTCTTGTAATTAACTTAACACGTGTGAAAAAATGGACAAGGATGTGGAACACCATTTTACACATTCACGATTAGGATAGTGTGGAAATATTCTCAAAGGTCACTTAATTAGCTTGGGCCTACAAATATCCATTTCCTCAATCTTCAATCATCAATCAATGAAACGTATAGTTCAGCCAACACTCTCTATAGATGCATCAATTCAAAATGGTATATAGCTATAACACCACAAGTATGTGTATATATCTTTTATATTGTCTGTAGGTACGTGTCCTACCATATATCAAGCACCTAAGCATTTTAGCTATAATGAAATCCAGAGACAGTGTTGCACAAAAAAGGAAAAAAAATTTCAAAAATTGAAATTGGAGAGGAAAGTCCAATTTACATTTTTTCCTTAGCATTGACAATATGATATTATTCTCTTCTTGATTGCTTGAATGATTTTGTGTTGAATCTCATGATCTCAACTTCATTGAATTTCTAACAGAAGTATAGGGATAAATATTAGTTGTACGTAAATCGATGAAATCTGTTGTCACATTTTTTTAGATAACAGACCGTTCTTTGCTCATACCTATGTATTCTAAACTTGATTAGCATGTGGTAGGATACGCATTGTTCCGAAATGACCGAAAGAATGGTCGTAGAAAGTAGAAGCTCTCATCTTTGAACTTTTCGAGCAACACATCTTTCTCTTGATATAGCAACTAATCTTTCATTTCCTTTTCAGGTTTGGATTCATTTTAAATAAGACTTGACTAGTTATCAAACTTCATAACTAGTCATGAATATAGTATCTAGTTGACATACAAAACTCAGTGATTGGAAACTACTTGCAAGCAACAGAGAAACAAAATAAATAGATACAAATTCAAACACAGACTGCCGTTTTATTTATTTAATGGTGCATTTTTGTTCTCATAAGTGCACCTTTGACATACTAAAACAAGGATACAAACTCAAATGCAGAGGGCATTTTTTATTTAATGGTGCATTTTTGCTGGAACAGCTGCACCTTACATGCTAGTACAACAGTGGGGAGATGTATGCGTGCCAGCAGTACATCATCCATGCATAAATTGAAAACCACACCAAAGACAGTGATAGATAATTAAAGTACTTCAAGGCGTTGATAGTCAGTTGATCAACGGCAGTGTTTGATTATTTCTTGTGCCAGATGAGTGTCAAGACTCCATCTGGGGTCTCAAAAACAAGTGCTTTGTGCAGATATGTGGCGCCCTCATAATCCTGGTTTTCAATGATAAGTGCGTAGTAATTGCCTCCAATGACGCTCCACGTGAATCCGCCAACCACGGCGACGAAAAGCAGCTTGCCGTGGTGAGCTTGTTCCACTACAAATTGTCCGATCTGAATCACGCGAGGGTCAGCCGGCTTCACTGGTTCTAGTGAACTGATGTCGGTCTGTAAATTCAAATCATTTTTTCCAATAAGAAAACGAAAAACAATTGAGTTCCCAAAATCAATTAGAATCCTTCAAATAAACAAACCACCAGAAATTAAATCCAACCAATTAATAAGAAACTACATCACTCGGAAGACAGTTAATGAAACAATGCAAGGGACCGCCTACCCACAGATGCATGTAGACAGCTGGAAATATAAAAAATTGCTTAAGACAATTCAAGAATGTTGTTTATGAGTTGATTGCCAAAACCACACATAAACTTGAAAAAGGAAGAAATCTAGCTAGGGAAACAATCACTATTCA